CCAGGGTCCTGGAATCAAGCCTGCGTTGGGCTCCCTGCTCAGCAGGGAGTCTGTTTCTCCCTCTTTACCCCTTCCCCCCTCCCCTTGCTCATGGTCTCTTGATCTCTCTTTCTCTCTCAAATAAATAAGATCTTTTTTTAAAAAAGTAATCTAGATTCAATGAAGAAAAGTTGGGAAATACAAGAAAGCACCAACAACAATATAAAAGTCATCTATTATCAAACCACCCAGAGATGGACACTTTAAAGATTTTGGTGTATAGCCATCTGAAATTTAGCTATTGCATCTAAATATAGGATCATTGTGTTTAAGTATGTATAAATATGTAAATAGTGTTTAAAATATATATACTACAGACATGTACCCTATGTTGTTGAATAATCTTCTATGACAAGATGTTTAATGGCTATATAGTATTCCATTGTATGAATGTATCATAGTTTAATTATCAATCTCTGACTTCGAGCTTTTATGTTATTTTTATGCTTCTGAGAGTTATAAAACACTCTTAGATAACCATCAGCATACTAAACTCCATGCATTTATCTCTGCTCATTGCTTTGAGACATTCTAGTGAGGGAAATGGTGCCCAGGTATGACGAAGATGGGGTGGAAGGGCACCTGCAGACATTCCCCAGAGAGACTGTCACCTTGGCTCCTCAACTAAATGCTCAAGGTTTCCTGGAGAATCCACACAGAATTGAAAAATGTCTTTGACATTTCTGGTCAGTCTACTCAAGGACCAAGTACTAAGACCTGCCTCTTTCTACCAGCTGCTAACGAATCCTTTCCCCCAAATTGTGCAGGCAGTGTTCATCGTCCCTTAACTGTCTGCAATGTTTTCTCCTCTCTTATAAATTCAATTTTCATCTTGTTCCTCCACTTGGTTCTACCACCTGATTCATCACATGTATTTAAACAATTGCTACACAAATGAGCTAAATAGCATAGTAAATAACATATATCTCTAAGTTAATCTTTCTTTTTTTTAAATATTTTATTTATTTGACAGAAAGAGAGAGAGGACACAAGCAGGAAGGACTGGGAGAGGGAGAAGTAGGCTTCCCGCCGAGCAGGGAGCCCGATGCGGGACTTGATCCCAGGATCCTGGGATCATGACCTGAGCCGAAAGCAGAGGCTTAACAACTGAGCCACCCAGGCACGCCTCTAAGTTCATCTTCGACACTCAAGTGTGATGATTTAAAAGATAATGTAAGAAGAAATACCTGATGATAGCAATACCTGATGATAGGAATTTTAAGTTTCAACATACATTGAAATCAAAATTATGGAAAGGAATATTTTTATGAAGAATCAATGAAATTACATAAAAATATAAAAAAGGATAACTAATGAACTAAAATTATCTATAGCTCTTAGTTAATGTTACATCTCCTTTACACCTTTCAGTTCAGCATAATTATTTACAGGTAGGGCATACATTTATAATCACTTTAGGACACCAAATGGGTTCTTTTGAGACATAAAACTTGTTTCCAGGGCTGCTAGTTCCCAGGGCTAGCTCATTTTGAATCCCCTCAGCATTAGAACAGTGTTTTGCTCATAATAGGTATTCAGTGAAATACTAATAGTTATAAATTTTTAGCTAATTTCTTATAGAGAAACAACCAGGTGAGTTTGCAGATTGCATCTAAAATGAACATAACAGTGAATTAAACAAGCCATATGGCAAAGTGGCATCCACAGAATGAGGACAAGCATATTTGAAAAACATGCATTCACAGAAGACCAACAAAATATTTTCAACATTTCAATAACAAGCACATACTTTTAAGACCAAAAAAAATCTAAAACTGAAAAACAAAACAATCCACACCAAAGTTTTTAAGAGTTAAAAGAGTTAAAATGTTAAAAATTTAACCAAAGCCATTGAGGAGTTTTGACTGTGAACACAAATATGCCCTACTCCAGGCTTCCTAACTCTTCCGCAGGACATCAAGGACTGCCTGAGTGGGGATTTGCAGGGGTCAGATAGGGAGGTGCTCAGTCTATGGGTGGGTACCCTCTCCTCTTTGTGAACACCTATAAGACCCTGCATGACCCAGCTCCCCACCTGTCTCCCCGTCTCATTGCTTGCCCCTCAACCTTCTCTCTCCAGGCTCCAGCCATGCCAGACACATTTTGATTCCTCAAGTGCACCATACTCTTAACCATGCCCATACCTTCATGCCTCCTCTTCCCTCTGCCTGATGTATTCCTTCCCGCTCCCATCTGGCCTAGCTGTCTGCCTTTCAGGTCTCAGTTCAATACCATTTCCTTTTGAAGATCCTTTCTTATCTCCCCTACTTGGACCACAAACTCCATCAAGTACCCAGGGCTTGGCATGGTGTGGTAAAGGCTCAATGAAATCTTATGATTGACTGTTTGTAATCCAGATATGTCTTCCAAGGGCCCCAGTGGTTCCTG